GTGCCTTGCATTGTTCCTATGGAAATTCTCAACTGCTTTGCCCGCCCAAGAAGATGACCGCTATTTTGAAAAACAGGTGATTATTTGCCATTAAAGTAATTGCAATTTACACTTCGTGTTTGTTTTACTATCTCCCTAAACAGCTAAATCGAGAATTGTTCAACAATTGGCTGGCGTCGGCACGCAGTATTCAGTATCCCTGTCGTTATTATCCCGACAACACCTGGTCTGCTCCCATGCCGAAAAGGAACTCTGAATTAATAAATTCACTTCTAAGTCTGCCCAAGAGTATGAACGACGCTGGAAAGTAAAGGCAATGAACCGTCCTCGTCCACAAATCGAATACATTGGCATTTCCTCTGAACAGCGGCGGTGTTACAAATTTCATAGAACCAAAAATTAGCATAAATTGAATGTAAAACAAATTTCCATCAGGATGATTGCTACAAAAAAAGAAAAATATATGTACTGTAACAAGTTGTAATTATTAATCGGAATTTATGTGTAATTGTAAATGTAAATTAATTAAATTTTCCCTTAATTGAAACCTAAATTGTTGGCTGTAGGCCCTAATTGTTTTGAAAAGCAAAAAAGAAAAACCCAACAAACAACAACAAAACAGAAATGTGTAATGAAAAAAACAATATTTAGCCTTTACGACCTTCATTTCTTTATGTTCAATAAACAATTCAATTGATACACTGACAAAATGAAATATTTGTTGTGTTTATTGGGTCCAGTTAGAATAATCTGAGAGGAGTCCTTGTATAAGTTCACTTCAATCCTTGCTCGTCTAAAATATTTACCATACATAAATCATGATTCTACAGGTTTTAATCAACCGATTAAATTTTAAAAGCTAAAACCATATTTTACTGATTACCTCCCTAAATCTCTGGTATTTCTACGTTTAGGATTTCACTGAACTAAGTGAAAGAAAAAGTTTTATTCACACATTTGTTATTTCCTTATTGCGGAAGTACATCAAGTTAGAATTCACAGTGTATTTTTCCGATGTTTTTGCAAAAAAAGAAATACTCAATAGCAGCCGTTGTTGTAAATGCCCGCTAATGGTTTGGCTTTTAATTTCACAAAAACTTTTGTTTATTGAAGACAAAAAAAATTATAATGGGCGTTGAATGCTGAATTCTGGAATTTAGCTTTTAATTCTACCAACAATCATTATAATCTACATCATAATCATCGTCAGCTACAAGACTAAAGTGAATGGTCGAATAAAATGAAAAGGAAGCACAGAAACACACACACATATAATCAGCATAGAAATTAGTAGTTTTTGCTACGTCATCTGTTGTTCTTGAATTGTTTTAATTTGTGCAGTAGAAGGTCATTTGGACTATCCATAAACACCGGATGAATTGTTTTCTTGGGAGCCATGAATGAAAAATCAAGCAGCTCTTAACGTGACCAGTGTAACTTTAACACCATCGCAATGTTCAAATAATGCTCTACGCAATTTAACGAAGTTAATTAAAAAAGTTTTCAATAAGTCAGTACTGTATGGGTCGATATTAAATACATACAAACATTTAAACGGTTGTTAAAGAATTTATTATTGTTTTTGCAAAATAGTCAGGCTGAATCCCAGTTTGTTGTTTTTATAAAAACAACTATTTATTAGTGGGAAATGTATGGCATTGTTTGCCGAGATGTGTGCATTTGTCGCGATGTGACAACACACAACAGTGGGAAAGGTGTGGTATTGTTTGTAAATGCCTTGTTAACCTCGAAGTGAGGCTCCAGCGAAATTCTCATGCAGTTTATGTCGTTGGTCAGCTAAGTACTTCGCTTTGTTACAAGAGACATTTGGGTATGAAAGGTTTTTTGTATAGAAGCAATAGCTTCTGGGGAGAATATCCCAACAAAAAACAAGGAAACTGATGAGGATCAGTGGCGTGATCCGAAACTATAGTCTTCCCTGCCTTACCCCTCGGCAAACAATGCCATACATTTCCCACTAATAAATAGTTGTTTTTATAAAAACAACAAACTGGGATTCAGCCTGACTATTTTGCAAAAACAAAATACAAATGGTATCCCAAATAAACCGCCAACACTACAGAATTTATTATTTTAAAAGTTCTGTTTGGAAAAATTGCTGACTGTATTCCTGTATATATGTGTATATATATCACGAATTCCGCAAAAAGGTCAACCACTAGGTGAAAAATCAATTCGTTAAAAGAGATATGAAATTATATAGGAAACATTATTTGCAATCCAGACAATATATTTTTAGTTGAATTTTGAAAAATAAGGGTAGTTTTTTTGTCCCATTTTCGCTTGTGGAGTAACTTGGGCATATATTTATTAGTTTTATAGTGTAATTTGTCTTAAGTGTGAACGCTGTTAGCTAAAACAATATCAATAATAAATATTAAATTCAAATAAAGTAATATCTTACTACGAATTACATATATATATATATATAACAACAGAATCCCGTGGTAAATGCAGTTAAATAGTGTAAGAAAATATGTAACGCGTGCGTGACAAAATTAACATATGTTTCTATACAGACTCTAATTTGTGATTTTTTTTTTTTTTTTTTTTTTGAAAATGCTGTTATGTATGGATCTTGAGATTACAAACTCAAATAAAACAAAGATTGTCTTCTAGCTCCATCGAAAAATTGTGTACCCCTCACACACATGTTACATTCTTCCTCAATAATTTGATTTCGTCCATAACTGCATAATGATTTACTAAAGGTCTTGGGGCCACACAAAGCTATAATACCCTCACAATCAGTGTTGCCAATTTAGCACTTTTCAAACTCTTTTAGCACCAAAAAAGTGATCTAGCACCTAGCACATTTTTTAGCATTTTTATTTTTTAACAATTAGTTACAATTTTGGGTATTATTTCGATTAAATTTTCACGCTATGAGTTTTATTTTCTAATGTTAAAAAAGAAAAAAAGTCTTAAAGTTCGACCGGTCAGAACATTTTATACAATGTACCATGTGGAGTGTATTAAAATTTTCTCAAAAAAGGTCGGTACTTTATATGCGGAATACGGGACTACGAAATGCCAAAATCTAGTCATTCCAGAGTACTACAAATGGGTCGCGTCCCAATTTATAATGAGGTAATGCCAAAAGATGGACCAAAATCTAGCCATTCCAGAGTACTGGAAGTGGGTTGTGCTCCAATTTAAAATGAGGTAATGCAATTTAAAATGAGGTAATGGACTTACTTCGGAAAATTTCGCAAACATGTTTTTTAAATTACAGCCACTTCGGCGGGAAAAAGTTCTAAACCTAACCAGTAAGGAAAGTAGTAAAGTCGGACTGGGCCTACTATATGATACCCTTCACCACTTTGGGTATATTGTACATATGTATCCTAACAATTTCAAATCTATGTTCCCTCTTTCTCCAACCTATCCTAAATTTAATTTCAATTGAGCAGATTTAGAGCCGTCTGCGTAACATGGGGAAAATTTAAAAAACGATTTATAGCAAAATTTATGCACGCTATTCGGTACGCCGCGTTGTTAAAAATATAATCTATATGTTTCCACGATTTCCACGAAACATAGCACACATCATTCTAGACCTAATTCAGTAGGCTATACCAAATTTCGTGCAAATAGAAAGATATATAGGGACTTTGGTAGATCATTTACCTAAAATCGGGCGAAACTATATATGGGAGCTATATCTAAATCTCGACCGACATTGACAAAATCACCCTTAATATATAAAATAAAGGTCAGAATGCACCAAAAATGACTGAAATTAGTAGATATCAATAATCATATTTGAAATAAAAACCCAATATATGGGAATTAACCTAAAGGAACGATTCAATTTCGAAAAGCTTTATGAAGATGGCCGAAATATTTTTGCAATATGTGAGCAAATTTCGATTAATATTGAAATTTATTCGAGAAGTGCAAAATATATCTGATCCGCAAATATATCAGTCACAACAGAATAAACAGAGATAAACGCCTATGTTGGCCAGTAAAGGTGTGTTAAGTTCCTAGCCCTTTTTGGAACTTGAGTATCTGTGATTTTGGACATTATTTTATTCTGAGCATGAATAACCACCTACCACATTTATTGCATTATGCGGTACTTGGTTGTTCAAGAACTGAATTTTTTGACGTTTTACTTGATATGACGTTTTTATTTGTTTTCTTTTTTCTTGCAAAAACATTATTATAAGCAATGAATAAAGCTTTAAGTCCGACGGAAAATTATTTTTTACACATCTTAGGCGGGACAAAAAAATGCCGTTCATAAAATTCAGGAGTCTACGTGAATTTGTTTCGATTTCAATGATTGCAACCTATATTTGGAACACAATAATATAATGGACGGATGGTATCGGCATATTTTCAAATGTTTCAAACTATTGGACCAAAACATAGTATGAATGATAATTTTGTAGGATATATTTAGGCAGATATCTATATTACTCTACATCTATAAAAGTAAATGTCTTTATATATGATGTTAGTAAATATCTTTGTTATATGATATAAACAAACGTAGTATTTTATTACTATGTGCATGTATAGTTTTTGTGCCAGTGATTCACATACATACATGCCCATGATATACATAAGTCTGCAAATATTTTTGTTTGTTTGTTTTTTCGTTTTCGCCTTCACTTCACTTCACATTACACAACACAAACTTGAAAATATTTACACAACTCGTTGCAAACGACAACCAGTCAACCAACCAACCATCCAACCCGCGATGTGAATGCGTAACAAATGTCAAGTCAATAAAGTCCGCACCCCAACGTTCTGTTCTGTTCGTTTTAATGTTGACACAGATTTTATTGCCTGAAAATGACGAATTTCGGTTTGCCATTGACACCATCCTGTGGAGCTTAACGATGCACCACAGAGAGGAACAGTCGAAAGAAATTGATATAAATTCGAAAGATTTCAATTCAAACACAACAGTTACCTGATTTATTTCGATCAGTGAATATATCGGCGAAATCTCAACAGTTATAATGGCTCATATTGGTTATTTTTCATTGGCCCTGCTATGGTTGTCGATGCTGCTTTGCAATTTGGCTGTAGCCTTGCCAACACCGGACGAAGAACAATATTTTGATAAGCAGGTAAGAGAAGCAGCAACGCAAATAATATAAAATACCAATTCAAAATGTCCTATTGCTCATAGCTGAATCGGGAATTGATAAATCGTTGGCTTTCATCCATTCATAATGCCCAAATCTTAAATAATCCTTGCCGCTATTATACCGCTGATGGTACATGGACGCCACCAATGCCCAAAAGAAATTCGGAACTAATCAATTCATTGTTGAGTTTGCCCAAAAGTATGAACGATGCCGGTAAATAAATTACTCGAACTAGTGGAAATATCGACGATGGTGAAAGAAAAAAGACTACACAAAATTAACGCCTATACAAATATGTATTGAATATTATTGTCGATGTATTAGATTAATTAAACAAAAATAAATATTAGTTATTCTGTTCTCTGTTATGTGTCTTTATGCAATATCGGGGTATAGGCAGGAAAGTGTAATTTCTCAGATAGAGCTCAAATATAGCAATACCTTCAAATTTGATCATTTTAAAATCTTAATTGTAAAAAGTTCTCATTAAAAAATCTCAATGTCAGTCAACGTTTGTTCCACCATATTATAGGTGTTTTGAAGGTTTTAGCTAAATTTTTCTATAATTTTGTAATATTGAGTTTGCATGGAAATTGGTCACAGTTTTTATCCAAATTCGCTTAATATTGGAATTCTTTTGCCTTTTTCGTCATTTCCAATGTTCTAAAACAAATTCCGGATGTAGATTTATGCGTGGAAAAAAATAAAATGTACTCAAGGAGAAAAGTATCATTGTTAGTATTATTGTTAATACATGTTCCGGATTGTTATTACTCCAAGTTCCGATAATATTACTAAATAATTATACAAAAAGAAGAAACTAAAAAACTCACAGGTGGTCTGCAACACGTTTTTCTCCAACAAATGGTCTATAAAACCCAATAAGCTAAAATCTGAAACATACAAACAACATTGTTAATAGTTTCTTCAAAATGTTCGATTCACACATTACGACAAACGTACGCTTTTCTAGGCAATACCACTTTCTCATCTCTCTGAAAATGTGGAAGTGGTGTCGATAAAACTATTATCGCAATTCTAATTAGCAGCCAATAAAGTTTTTGAATAAAAAATGATATTTTAAAATGTTTATCTTATTTTTACTTTATGGTTTAATTTTGGGGCAAAAAAAATCAAATACACAATTTTCATTTTACTTTTTCGATTTAACTACATAATAAAAAAACAAAACAATTTTCATAAAAGATGTTGTCCGTTAACACTTTTACATTTTGACTCGAAAACCAAATCTAAAGAAATTTTCGGTATGCGTTTTATACTCCCGAAACTGCATAAATGTAATTTTTTTACTACTATAACAAATTGTCCTTTATGATATCGAAAAAAGTAGAAAAAATTAGTAGATTCTTGCAGTTCTGGAAAAGATTAAATGTGTCTAGGAATTCCATTAACTACACTCGTCATCATTGTTAAGGGAAATTCCACTTGGCATCGGTTAACCACCTCTCACGCATTGCCAGAATGTGCAATTACCAATCAATGAAATTCCGCGAACTTTTTTCAACCAGATTCTCTGGTCGTCCCAGAGCCAATTATTCACACGACTTACTGTGTGATGACACTCAGCTAACGTTGTCAATTAAATTAATTTCCCCCCTTTGTCAGGTTGACATTTAGCGGCAAAATTACGGCAACATTGATTAACGCGTATTTACAGAAGATAACGGCAGCTGCTCGTGTTGGTGTGTGTGTGTGTGGAGATGTAAACAAAATATTAAAATGGAGGCAGAATGTGACGAATTTCTATTTAAATTAAAGTAACAAATTAATAGTTTTAATAAATTTATTATGAAAGGCAAAATAATTACATCATTACGCGTATATAATTAAATGTATGTCTGTCTGTTTAATAACAAATAATACACATTGGTAAGTTCGAGCCAACATCAAATATTTGGTTTAATATGACAATTATGTTGAAATGTGACAGCGAAAATAAGGTTTTCACTGCCACATTTGTAGTAATTTAATTTCTCCTAGAATGTTCGTCATCCTGATTTTAAGTATTGAAATTGAATTTTTGGGTATTATAATAGTAGTATGTGGACCAATATTGGACATTTTTATAGAGAAAATACATTGCGGTACAGTACGTAGTAAAAAGATGCGAAGACAATTTCTTTGATCTCATGAAAAAGTATACAAATCATGCCAGAGAACATTTGAAAACCGGTAAGGAAAGTAGTAAAGTCGGACGGGCCGACTATATGATACCCTTCACCACTTTGGGTATATTCAACAGATGGGTCCTAATAGACGTCGAATATTTCAAAAAACAATGACATGAAATTGGACAAACTTAATTATGCAACTTTTATCTATATGTGAACAGGCCTTTGTCATATTTCATAGAATACCTATATATTTCATTAAATAACGTGTTAAAATTTGGATTGGATTATTAATGTTTGAGTTTTAGTGACCGCCATTTGGTGCACCATTTACATAAAATCTGACGAAAATATATTTTGGAGCTATATCTAAATCTAAACCGATTTCAACAAAACTTGAAACATATTAGGATGTAGTAACTTCAGTTCGTTGTGCAAATTTGTGTGCGAATCGGGCATATTTTGGGGCTTTGGTCACCATTTACTGAAAATCGGACGAAACTATATATGGGAGCAATATCTAAATTTGAACCGATTTTTTTCAATAGGGTTCGTCCTTACGCCAAAAAATGAGCTGTGCCAAATTTCATACAATTCGGATTACAAATGCGACCTGTACTTTGTTTACAATTTAACACCAACAGACGGGCGAACGGACGGGCAGACATGCATAAATCGACTTAGAAAGTGATTCTATACATATTCTCAAAAGGAACCATGGGTCTATCACCTTTTCTTTTGCCTGTTATAAACATATGCACAAAGACATAATGCCCTGTACCACAGTGTGGTGAAGGGTATAAATAGCAAAATATTTCCATTATTAGCCCAGAAATGTACATACATAGAAATGTACAAATGTACATACATAGTATCCCTCGTATTATGCAATAAAACGTAACGCACCCTTTTTGTCAGTATAATGTAATTTTTTTTCTTTCTATTATCTAAAATTTAAGAAATATTAAATTTTAAGAAATTACAGCTAAAAATTACTAAATAATTAAAGGCTTAAAGCCCCAAGAACACTTAAAATCGCTATCTTCATTATACTAATGATTGCTGTTATTTTTGTGTTACGGTACACACTATGTGGGGTGAATATAATTAATTTTTTCTGTGTAAATAAACTGAAAATTTACATACGCGACGTATCCGTACGAAGAAGCCAAACATTCACCTGAAAAAATAGAAAAATGTATAATTAGAGGGATATGAAAAAATTACTCTTATATGCTAATGAAGTAATAGTTTTCTCGACGAAAACCAACGTAAATACCATGCTGTGGTATTACATACATATATATGCGTACGGGCCTACAAACACACAAATTAATACATTTGCTTAGATTGTATATTTTTACAAATTACACACTAGACATGAACGTTGAATAATTTAATCCAATTTTGAATTCTTGTATGTTGAATTCTAAACTGTTATTTGAATTTTTGTGATCATTTGAAAAGTGATTTTAAGTGATTATTTATACTCTTTCGAGTCGAGCTTGATGATCTAAATTTTGCAATGAAAAGGAAAGCCAGGAGAAGAACCTACGTACCCATATATATGCGACGCGTTTCGCCGTTGGTTAAGCGGCTCATCAGGCATATTGGGCTACACACAAAGGTCGTAATATGCGAAACTTGCATATGCGAATTAAATTCAAATTTGTCAACGTACGACATTTGTCTTCATTCTAGGAACAGTCCTTTTCAAAGCAGATTTTTGTTGTAGCGATGGACACACACCTACAATTGCTTCCTGGTATACACATGTTTTTTGCGCAACCGTTTTTGGAAGTGTTGATGGCTCAGAACGTTAAGCGGTCTTGGCAACATCTGTGTTGCTCTGAGGACCTAGGTTCGAGCCCTAGCCGTGCTCGGCTGAAATTAATTTTTGTTATTTGAATTTTTGTGATCATTTGAAAAGTGATTTTAAGTGATTATTTATACTCTTTCGAGTCGAGCTTGATGATCTAAATTTTGCAATGAAAAGGAAAGCCAGGAGAAGAACCTACGTACCCACCATTATGCGACGCGTTTCGCCGTTGGTTAAGCGGCTCATCAGGCATATTGGGCTATGTGGCTTTACAAAGGTCGTACGTTGATAACTTGTATTTATTCCGCCCTGATGCGAAACTTGCATATGCGAATTAAATTCAAATTTGTCAAAGTTCGACATTTGTCTTCATTCTAGGAACAGTCCTTTTCAAATTCTAAACTTTTTCTAGGTATTTTCTACGATTTTCTTTTTACCTTCAAAAAGTATTGAAAATATTCATGCATGGTGCTTTACTAAAATCCCATTAAAAACTTGAAATAATTTTTGCGACCATATCAATTATCTTTGATGCATAGATAGAGATGGGCAGTGGGTAAATACCCGGTAAATTGGGTAAATACCCATTTGTGGGTATTTATTTGTTTATTTACTATATTGAATAGGTAATACATCTTACACCCTATTTCCGGGTTTTTGCTATCACATCGATTTAGAATGGATAGTTTTACGATACTTTATAGACGTGGGTAAATACTTGGGTAAATACCCGAGTTTTTACCCAAAAATTGGGTATAAATTCATTAACTGCGCAACCACTTGACACAGGCGGCCAAAATTTTGTATACATGTTTATAATGTCAAAGCAAGTATAGACATCAAAAATAGCCCCCATATATCCGTATCTCCAACCAAATTGGCTGTAATTTGGCACAGAGTGTTCTTTTTGGGTACCAAAAGTCCATGCAAAATTTTCTGTATGTAGGTCCACGTTTACTGATAGCCCCCATACAAAGCTACCCCTATTTTGAGTATTTACCCAAAAAATGGGTATAAACTCATTAACTGACGAACCACTTGACATAGATGGCCAAAATTTTGCATACATGTTTTTAATGCCGAAGCAAATATAGAAATCCAAAATGGGGTCTCTGGGTCCAAGTTTTGATATAGCCCCCATATTATTGATATCAAATACTGGTATGGGAAATGGGGTCTCTGGGTCCAGGTTTTGATATAGCCCCCATATAACCATACCTCCCGATTTAAGGTACTTTTTGTCTATTACACATTTTACGATCAACTTGGTTATAATTTGGCATC